GTTGTGGTCACTATTATGACTATTATTATGGTCAACATAATAATCTGAAAGATATTGTTTTCAAACGAAAGTTAAATAAAGATGTTTTCAAACATATGAGCACCGGGAGGTATTGCCAGCAGTATCACACTATGGCAAATACTGAAATCTTTCAGGTAGAAGGCATTCTGCCAGATGGAATGTGGACTTGGATAAGCACATGAGCAGCACCAGAAAGACTAACCAGAGGGTAAATGCAGAGGAAATATTATTATCTAAGTATGTGTTAAAGATAATTGTGTCCAAACAAGGGTTGTAACAATGAAATATGAGACTTGTGTGGTCTGTAAATATAAAGTGTCTGCTAATAATGACAGAGGTCAGAAAAAAAAAAAAAAACTATTAACTAGACTCCTGTTGGAACCTTATGCTGCCAGGGAAGGGCTGTCCTGTCAGCCGGTGCCCCTCATACACCAGTGTGAACCTCCTAGAGCAGTCTTAGTAAATCAAGAGCCTAATGCATCACAACAAAGGGATAGCTATCCAACAGTGGAAGGTTGATTTAGTGTTCAAACATCATTGTAACTTACTGTATTAGCAAACTAAAATAGGAAATAACAGCAATCTTTGACAAATTTCAATAACTATTCCAAGAACAAAATTCCCTCTACAGCAAGGATGTAAGGGAATAATCTTGGTCATTCTAAGAGAGAAATGTGTTTGGTGAGTTTCTGGTGTCTGCAGCCTTGATCACGCCTGAGACCTCTCTCCTTGGTTTTGGCTGGTCCCCATCTCCGCATGTCATCACATGGCCTTTTCCTAAGTGTGTGTGTCTGTGACCAGGATTTCCCTCTTCTTACTAGCAAGATAATTTTCTGAGACATTACTGTTTTCTTCACATAAGAATTAAAATTTGTGGGCCATTTGATCCTCGTATATTGAAGAAACATGGAGAACTGGAGTTTCTAGCCAAGTGGCTGAGCACTTGACCACTTTGTGTGTGTTGGGCATCCACAATGTTTGTTTGGTTGACATAAATAGCCATGAGTCCACGACAAAGCTGAAAAACTGCCTAGGAAAAGATGAGAAAGAAATTCTAGGTAAAATAAGGAAAAACCAAGAAGCATGTTTGGAAACAGTAAGTGCACACAGTGTAAAGTGTTGCACTGGGTGGTATGAGTTTAAAGGAGGATAAGTAGCAAGCAGACAGGATTTAGGATCGTCTCTGGACAAGTCCTTGAGTCCTGCTCACAGAGCTAACCATTCTCCCCATGCCCCTCAGATTTGCTCTGTTCTGTTAAAAGCACTTAGGACATTTTTATTATGTTATGCATGTAGCTGCATTTCATTGTAGACAGCCTACTACAAGAGAGAACAACACTTGGTGGTTTAGTACCTCCCTCTTAAAATGGGAGAATTTAGAAACCGGCATGATTAGTGTAGGCTGGCCCATCGAAACTAAGTAGGTTTGGGACAGGAATTCATGAGAAAAGTAAATCTCCACAGTAAAGAGGGTGAGGAAGAGGACATATCTCAAGGAGTAACAAGAATTGAGATAAACAGGAAACTCAAAATTTATTATTAGATTTTATTTAGCAGCATAGGAACACATATCTTTCTCTTCCCCCATTGGCACAGCAGAGCTGTCATCCACCAGAAGAAACTGTTTTATTTCATTTTAAATCAATGATATACAAGACACTATAGCAGGCCTCCTCAGACCGCCAGCTCCCAAAATCATGACATGGGGACTTATTATTAGTTATGAATGCTTGGCCTTGGTTTAGCCTTGTTTCTGGCCAGCTTTTTTTTTCTAACTTGTGTTAACCTGTTTCTCTTTATCTATGTTTTGCCGTGGGGATTTTACCTTCCTTCAGACTGGCCGACGGCTGCCTGGCTGACTGGCCCCCAGTGCTTCTCTCTCTTTCTCCCTTGTTCTCTCTCAAGCCTAGACTCCTCTTCTTACTTATTCTCTCTGCCCTCCAGCCCCTCCTATCCCTCTCTTGCCTAGCTATTGGCCATTCAGCACTTTATTAGACCAATCAGGTGCCTTAGGCAGGCAAGATGAAACAAATGCAACACACCTTTACATAATTAAACAAATGCAACACACATTTACATAGCTAAAGTAATATTCCATAACAAGATACTCTTCCAGGTGATTGTATTTTCCTTTGTCTTCTGTTATGATGTGCATATGTTATAACAATGGAGAGATGAGAACAGCAATGGCCAATATGCCATTTGGCATTCTTTCCGTTACCATTAGGAACCTGTGGTAAGCCATGAATTAATACCAATGAGAACCAATAGAATTGCAGCAGTTGGAGATGAGGCTTGCATCTGGTTCAGCCGTGCAAAAAACATCGTGCCATTTTAGGAAGACTTAAGTTGTGGGTCTTAAAATATCAACACCAGATTCTGAATTCCACTTTGACTCTGAAAAACATCGTGCCATTTTAGGAAGACTTAAGTTGTGGGTCTTAAAATATCAACACCAGATTCTGAATTCCACTTTGACTCTGAAACATGTCTAATGATCTGCAAATGTGTCAATTATCCCACAGGACCCTCTTTTATTTTTTTATTAATTTGTGATAAAAGCAGTATAATGTGACATCATTCATAGGTAAGTTTTCTGTGTATGCACACGAGATGGAACATGGTATCATGCCGGTACATAGTCACCTCTGGCACTGTGGGTACTCTTCTTGGCCAGCACAGTGCTCTAAGGGGAACAAGTATTCAGGTACAGCAAGGGTCAGCACATAAGGAACTGAGAACCTCTGAAGATCACTCCTTTTCCTTTACAATGTTCCACTGAATTGGTCTCAAAGGGCAGCTATGAAAATAATCTTTATCCTGGTATCTCTTAGTGTGTTATGGAAAGAACAGTGCTAAGAGCCCATCTGTTCTTAGTAACATAGTCTTAAGGTTCTGTGAGATACTCATGCATGAAGATTATGTTTCATTTTACTTTGTTTCATTTCAGTATTTAAATAAATTATCTGGGGGTATACCTGTTCATATGACATGTAAGCTTTTTAAGTATTTTGAGCTCATCTTGGTTAAAAGTTGAGGCAGCTGATTTTTGTATTGCAGACTAATTTTCTTCCACATAGTGAGAAATAATTCTCAGTATTCATCAGAGGGCAGATTTAAACAGCTTTTATGGTTCACAACATTGTACTGGTGTTCTTAGAACTTAGGAAGATAGATTCAAATCTAAAATATTTGAAGATAGTGTACCCTATGAATGGAATTAGAGGTATTAAAACTATCTTCTGGAAGCAAGGGCAGTTTTAAACAATAACCTACAGTGATTCAGTTGCTTCTAAGAAAAATATTAGGAAAACAGATTTTTATTAGCATAACACTTACAGTTGTACACAATCTTAAAACTAAATATACATTCTCAGTTATAATTTGCATGGCTGTTTTTCATAACAAACTGTTCAGGTTGAGTGAAGAAATTATCAAATTTCTACATAGTTCTATACCTTAGAGTTTAAGATTGTTGTAGGTACATTTATAAAGACTCCATGGAAAGAGATGTCACTGTGCTTAAAAACAAATTGTCACAATGATTCTCGGGGGTGGAGGTGGAGCTCATACAGATTTTGCTTCTGAGGATTTTTTTGATGCCAAGTTCCATTTTCAGGACCTAGAAGGTGTTCAATAAGGTTCTGTGGAATTTACAAGGTTAAATTTACAAAATATGGTTTTTTTTTTAATTCGGATGCTACACAGAAGCTGAAGTCAAGGAAAATCTAACCGTGCTCTAAGAACAAGCCATAATGATTCAAAGACTACCGTGTGCTGTGTTCTGGCAAAGTGAGGTTGTTGCTTGTTTGGGGGGCACTTCTTTCTGCTAGATTATTAAAAAACAATGCACAGTGAGTTTGTAATTTCTACTTTATAAGCTGGCATCTGCTGGGTTTAATAGTGTATAGTGAAGATGCCAAGCCCAGGACTAAATAAACAGAAAATTGAGTTAGGAATCTTCATTTTTACCAATAATTCTGAAATTGTAGAATAAAAAAGGGCTGCACTTTACTTTCTGCCAACTTTGCTCTCACTGTTGAGGAAATGAAGCATAGCATTTATTTGTTCAGATGTTAGAGTTTTATATGGTTGCTCCAATCTTTCTTTTTCTAACAGTATTTTCCATTATAAAATTTGATATAATAGTCTTATATGAGAAGAATACATAATGATCTTCTACTGGACTTGATCGTTTATTCAACAAGTGTTTATTGAGTTCTACCAGGTGCCAGCTACCTGGTGTTTGAAATTCATCAATGAATCAAAGAGTAAAAATTTCTGTCCTTATACATAGTATGTTCTAGTCAGTGAAATAATGATGATGATGATGATTTCACAGTATGGTAGAAAGTGATGAGGATTCTGTTTATAAAAAGAATTAAAATTCAAATGTGTAGGGAAAGAGACAATAGAGATGTAGTTATGTAGTGTGCAACCAGTCATTTTCGATGCAAGGGCAACTTTGAACACAGGCTTGAAGGTGATACTAAACCCCACCATTTGGGTAATTTTGAGACTTGAAATTCTGAACATACCTGCAGCCCATTTGTTCTGCACGTCACTGCCTGGCAGGAGGTGGCAGACGAGAGGGAAGTCAGAGGTTCTCCTGCCCTCCCTGTCCCATTGGCTGGGAGTGGCAGTTCCACGATGCTTCCTCGTCCCTACCATGCTGTAGTAAACGGCTCTCACAGCTTTGGTTCTGGTCTAGCAGTGACAAGAATGCGCTTTACTTCAAGAATTCGCTCTTGAGCTCCTTAGAGCAACACAGAACATAATGTTATATCTTTTATTGGTTCTTAGAAGTACAGAAGTTCACACACTGCCCCTTGAGCTTGGTGCCTATGTGAATCTGGCAACAGGCCAGCCTTGCCTTTGACTCACTCAATTATAGATTCAGATGGGAAAGTGGCTTATTTTGTGGACAATCTTCATTAATCTTAGCACGACTTAAAAATAGAACTACCTCTTTCTTCCAGATTGTGTTCCTGGCTTCTGCATACACAAGTCCCCAGCTCAGCGAGGAGAGCTGTTCTGCTGTGGCTGCTGTGGCACATTACCTGTACCTGTGCCAGTTTAGCTGGATGCTCATTCAGGTTGGTTGCTCACTCACTCCCACACCACTGCTCCCCTCGGGTGACCTTGGGTGAAGCGGCTTGACTGCCTGATATTCTCCATACTGAAGCAGAAATAATTCCAATAAAGCCATCACAAGTCTCCTAGGGTGTAAACGTAAGAATATACCTAGTAACTTTGCAACACCAGAGAGCCCAGTTTGGAACAACGAGGCAAATCTAGTAGGGCTGAAAACAAAAGGGTGGTAGGAGGAGAAAGTTGGAATATGGGTCCCGTAGAATAAGAACTTTGAATTGTTTTCTCCGGATCATCATGGAATTTGTTAAAGAAAGGGAACGATGTGAGTAGATTCAGATTTTAGGAAGATGCTCGCTCTTGTGGTTAATTGAAGGTAGGAAAGAGTGGTGGGGGCTGCCAATTACTAGTGTTAACTGTACCAGAGGATGGCGGAACATTCCTACCAAACAGACCAGTGTCAGTAGAAACACAGTAAAGAACTTGGGGTATTTCTGTTTGGTAACGCAGACTTCACGATGTAGATTGGCTCTCAGAAAGGCAGGAGATGGCAGTTCCTGTCTTCCCCACATCTGGCCTGAGTAGCTGATGGAGAGGGGCCTCCTGTACTAAGGTTAAGAGCAGTGAAGAGGCAAAGGAGTTTCCAATAATTAGCAACAGTAGATGTGGCAGTGGTGTAGAGAGTGACAGAGGGGGATTCTTGGAGTAGACCTCTGGCTTTGTCCCTCTCTACACATCTCAATCAAATTATTACCTCCCTCCGAGGGATGCTTCCGAATCTGCATAGGGGATGATCATTTCTACCTCATAGAATTAGTGCTTCATAGATCTTTCAGCACCTCCAATCATGGAAAATATGTCCTTTTCTCTAACATCTCTGTCAACTGGTTTAAAAGTAAGTCAAAAAATAAGCCATAAACAGAGAACAGAATGTCTCCTGAAAGTTGAGTAAATTTGTTAGATCTCTGATTGCAAGGTTACTTTGGGGTTTGATCTAAGGTGAAGTTTTTGATACATGACTGCAGGTGGTTATCTGGCTGCCTGGACTGAGTCTGCAGTGCTGTGCTGAAGGTCTTTGTCCCTGTCCCTGACATATTCTCAGTTTCTGATTAATGACACAGATGAAAACACAGGAAGCTGCTTATCAGATCTGAAGATGTGCAGAGATAACAGGATACTCACAACAGGAAGCTGTCTGTGTTAGACCACAGGAAGAACCGATACAAGAGCTGCACTTAGAGCCTGCATACTAAAGAGACAATATCACTCATGAGATATAATATAAATGGCTGGAAATTTCACTTCAACATAAACCCAGCGCAATGTGAAGTATGACCAGAGTACCACACAGACCTAGGTTACATAAGTAACAGTCTGAAGGCAACCGTGGCTGCATTATAGTCTATAATGCACTATTCATCTTCGGGACACAAGACTACATTCACAGTTCATGTACTAGCATGTGGGGAATCAGAAGGTAGTCTCTTGGACGGGTTTGGGAGGATGCTTCTGTCTTTGATCCCAGGAGAGATGCTGCAGGAGAGAAAGCCTGGGGTCTGCATTTGGCAAAACCAGAGGAAATGGATCAAATATTAGGAAATGAAAATGTCATTCAAGTTAGAGCATTCACAACCATACTGTGGGAGCTGAGAAGAATTTTCTAGACACATAGTGAATCAGTGAAGCATATTCAAATGGAGAAATGACTTCCACATGTACTTCAGGTAGAGTCCCTGCTTTGGGGGTACTAAACCAGATGCTGTGTAAGATTTAACCAAAGTTCATGGGAATCAGTTTATTCCTTGCCTGTGTTTCTGGTCAGCAAGGAAATCTGATTGTGGCTGATGCATATTTAGTAGACTAATTATGCTTCTGTGTGGCTCATGGTTTAGGAAAACGGTTGCAACTGGAAGTGAAATGTAATGCATTTCAGATGGTGCACCACACATCCTTCATGGTTTGTGGTGTAACCACAAGGGGAAAATCCAATAATTTCTGAATTTTCAGTAGGTTACTTTTAATAACTTATTTTATGGTCAGACGTCATTTTACCAACCTGTACTTTCCATTTATAAAATGCTGTGTGCTAAAACCATTTTTTAAAATCTGAATCTGTCTTAAAAACCACTATGTAGTAAGATAGGCTAATATTAGTCCAATCCTGTGAGTCAAATTTGATTAAAAACTTGAAAGAGCACGTACATACTGTACAGCCATCCATGCAGGCAAAACGCTGACACACATAAAATAAAACAAAGTGAAAAATTTTTAAAAATCTGGAAAGAATGTTAACACTCTGATGAGTCTATTTCACATTTTTTATCAGTACAGGAGAGAATCGGATGCTATATATGAGTAATGTGATGGCAACGAGCTAGTCATTAATCTCTAGTCACTGGGTTAAGAGCACCAGAGTTATCGGGGTGGGCTGGCGAGTCGGCTCAGTGGGAGAAGTGCTTGCTGTCAAGGCCGACAGCCCAAGTCCGATCCCTGGGACCCACACGCTGGAGGGAAAGAAATGCCTCTAACAAGTTGTTCTCTGACCTCCACAGATGTATACCCTCACACATACACACATCAATACACACAGAAATAAAGAAAGTAAAAAGATCTCCCTAAAACAAACGTATTAAAATCATGGACTGATGTTTATTTTATTCGCATCACATTTTCAATGTCAGGATAAACATACTTAAACGACCTGGCTTTACTTTTCTGTCACATGTTTTCAACACCCTATGGTAAAGTTAGATTACATTTAGACAGCCAGGAGAAACATCTCATTGATGAACAAGTTATATAACCTTGTTGAGCCTAGCTTGCAGATCAGGTTACAGTCATACCATCTTGGAAAACTGTGAAAATATAAAACTAATTAATCCCTTCAGGAAGTCGGCCCTGTGCCCAGCTCAGAGTTAGTATAGTATGCACGTTCGCTTATCATACTGGTGAGCCCAACATACATGGCTAAAATAGCAGAGATCTTGAACTATATTCATTATTCTACTTTTTCAATGTAATCCATTTCTTTTTTTGGAAAAGGGGAGTATGTTTGATATATAGGAATAGGCCGATTTTAAGAGAGACACACACCAGCCTGAGCTCTTTGTTAGAATGCAAGCCTCCTCAGCTCTGTGGCCCCTTCCGTCTCCAGGCTTCCCTTTCTCTCACTGGGAAGTTACACAGTATATGGCGGGAATGTAACAACAGCAAAGTTTGCTTATTTGAAACAAACAACCCACAGATTCCGTGTTTGGCCAAGGATAATTGCCCTGCCCTTCTGTTTGTTCTTCATGTACGATCACTCAGTGTGAACGCTGAAATCATTTCCCACTTCCTTAAGACACCAGGGTCATGTTTGCGCTAAGTTAGAGTGACAGTGAGGATTTAAAATGCTTAAATGTCTTTCCTCTATGTTGCTGGCTAGTTGTTTTGATTTCCTTTCATTTTAGAGATAGCATATGCTAATATTACAAAACAAAAGCACTTCAGAGTGACGTCAAATCAATTGTACATCTCTTTCTTGCTATTTTGTATATTTGCAATTTTTGCTTTATCCACAATGCCATGTGCAAAGGTAAACATTGCTAATGGTTTCCTGTGTATGCCTCCACAAATACCCCATGAGTAGACAAATATTTGTAAGTCTATAAACAATCACACATGTGCATCCTTGTGATTGTATATACTTTTTATATATGTATATATTTATGTTTGGAAATCTTTACTTTTACAATGTTCAACTGCACTCTTTTCTATGCTACAATATAGTTATTCTGCAATTTATTTTGTAGTCTCTAAATAATTCTGGTTAGTTTTTTATTATAAACAATATTTGTTTGCTTAGAGAGTATCCATAGAGTTCCTAAATATTATGCCTTTATTATGTATGGTCACACAAGACATACTTCCAATTGGATTACCAGATCATGTGTTAATTGAAGAACTATAATGTAAACTGTGATTGTTTGCAATATCCACATAGAGTAGAGGCAAATGGAAATGTAACTTTGCTTTTGTGTTAATTTGGCTCTGTTTCCTGATCATTCTCATCGCCATGTTAGATCACTGTAGAGCAATCTGCTTTAGTCACAGAAAACATGAGAGTCTTGTATTGTCTCTACAATCTGTTCCTCTCATTCCTAAGGTCACAGCTTAATCAAAGTCAATGTTTTAATTTGAAAGTAAAGTTTCTTTGATGAATATTTTCTTACATTGGTAGAATAGGCTAAAATCACTTAAACATATGCTTGAGCATTTATATCTTGTGCCTTAAGTTCTCCAAATAGCCTGACTATGGACAAACAAACTTACAAGTTCTTAATCTCTTCGTAGAAAGTGCTGGAGCATGACAACAGGAAAGGGATGCTAAAATTAGCCATGCTTTTCCTTTGTCATTGATTTAATTTGACAAGACTTCAAAAAGATTGAAGACAACACACTGATAATTACCAAGATAAAAATGGCATACCCAGGAAATACTGAATTATCAAGCCTCAAAAAGCCTTGCAATTCTTTTAATGCAATAAATAATAAGAAAAGGGAAGGAGAAGGACATGTGGGAACATTTCTTAGATTTGCAACTAAAATGAATGATTAAGAACATATGGTGATGGATAGAATTAGTAACCTGTGTGATTGCTGCTTATATGCAATGCTATATATCAGTTCAGTGATTTGGGCCAAACAATTAATAGTCAAGTATTATACAACAGCCTGGATACAATCTTTGTTCAGATGAAATTTATGGAGTTCAAATAGCCTATTTAGCCTAAAATAAATGGTATTTCTCCTTTATGTTTTACTAGTATACTAACTGTTACATGAAGATGTAGTAATGAACTGATGAATTTGTGTTTATAGAATATATAAAACCATAATTCTGCCCTATGATAATCAAAACAACAAGATGTGTGTTTGATTTTCTTATGTAGATACTTGTCTGTGCAGTAATGTAACCAATGTGCTTACAGATACAGTCTTTAACTTATTCTCATGTCTATTTGATCTAGGTAGTTTCTTTGTACTTTAAATGGAATCAATTTAAAATTTTGCAGTCCCAGTTACTAACTCTAGAAATTTAGTTTTTATGTGCTGTTTTCTTCTTCCTGTAAGAGGAGTGAAGACAGAGAGAGACAGAGACAGAGAGTACTAAAATAATACAGCACAAAACTTGCTTTGATTAAATTAGACTGATGTTCAGTAACTCATGGTCTACATTTATTATTCAATAAATATTGTTTAAATTCATGTTTTGCATTTAATATTTTTAAGTTTTCACTAGTTAACTTGTGTTCCTCTTAAAAGGAGTTTGATTAAATAAAATCAAGTCTTCTAAAATTCCTTCTGAAACAAGGTTTTAAAGTACACACACACACATAGACACACACACACACACACACACACACACACACACACACACACTACTTTAGAAGACAAAAGTAAACCAAGTTAAACAGATTGAAACAATTTTGAACCATGACAATGGTACGTATATAGGATTCCTGCCTCAGCCAAAGCTGGGAGTGCAGTTTGTCTGTCCATCCTTCCCTGCAGTCACACTTTCTCTCTAGACAGCTGCTACAGTTCATAATTCCCCTTATTTCCATGGACACCTTAGATGATCATGGGATTGCAAGGTGATTCGGTGAAAGAAATTGGTCCAGACTGGTCCAGACTTCCATCCCTGACCGAACCAGCTGTGACCAGCTGAACAGGGTCATATGATATGATACATGCAGCTGCTGAGTCAATACTGTGTATGGTTAGGGGAGGTGAGAGGCAGGGCTTAGGAAAGAGAGTTCATGACCTAGGCATGCATCTCAAAATATACCTACCTAAATACATTTAAGTAAAATTTAAAGTAAGTGTGACTCTAATATCATGCCTTCAATACCAGTACTTGGGAGGTGGAGGTAGGAGGATGAGGAATCCATGACCATCTTTGACTGTGTAGCAGGTTTGAGGTCAGCCTGCACTACACTAGACCCTACTTCCAAAAGCCTTCCAGTAGGGGGCTGGAGAGATGGCCATGTGGTTAAGAGTATCTGTTGCTCTTGCAAGAGGAGCAGAGTTCAGATCTCAGGACCCAGTAACTCCAACTTCAGAGGACTGAATGCCCTCTCATGGCCTCAGCAGGCACATATACACATATGCATAACTAAAAATAAAATATCATTTAAAACCTTCCATATAAACAAAGAAAGAGAGAGAAAGAAGGAAGGGAGAGACAGACAGAAATAAGGAAGGAAGGAAGGAAGTAGGAAGGAAGGAAGGAAGAAAATAAATTCAGGAAAACTTGAATGAGTTAGAGAAAATTTTATATGTGGACCACATGATTGTCTACAATAATTAAAATATTTTTACATAGTATTTCCATTCTATAATGTCAAAAATGGTACATAATGAGAAATTCTTTCTTCATAGTATATTTCAGTGGTTAGATCCTGTTAGGAAGACATTTGCATTTTTTCAAACTGGCGAACGTTTATGACATGGAGCTAGCTTTCCTGAATCGTGTTGTTGAGAACCCAGTGACACTGTTGAAGTTCTGCATGGATGAACTTAGAAAGCACCTCGTCCTCTCACCTTTCTCTTAGCTAAGACTGTGTCAAAAGTCTAGCCACGGCTGAGATGTTACTGGGAGATTCAGTTATCCTAGCTGAGAATCACCATCTGTATGAAAGCATACATTAGAGAAAACCCCAAACTTTACCATGCTGAATCACCGTAGAAGTCACTCACTAACGCCCCTCCATCCGGTCAGACGTCCCTTCTGCAATGCTGGTTTATCTCACTATACAGATGTGCATAGATACACTCTTTACTAGAGTGTATCTTACACAACTAGTGCGTCTGTAGTGATCTTTAGTATGGGTGACATTTCATCTTCCAATAGCCAGCATTGACTACTTCATCGTCCAGTACTCAGCAGTCTGCTGGTTTGAGTCTACACCCTAAGAAAAGTGTAGAGGGGGGGGGGGGGCTAGTAACACAACAAGCTTTGACCTTAATCGCTTTTAAAGAGGAGTTAGAACAAATTTGCATAAGCAACAATTCAAAACATGCTTTATAATTACAGAGATATGCAGATGTGCATAAAGATAAGGAAATAAATTCAAAGACAAAAATCTCCAAGAAACCAAATATTTTTACTCTTCCCAAGTTTAGCCTAGTATAATCCCTCAAGGCTGAAATGGTCCAGATAGGATCTTGCTCAGAAGCCTCAGTAAACAGCATCTAAAAACCTTCCCACAAGCATTAGACACACTTATTTTCCACTCAAAAGGGCTTAAACTACATCATTATGACTTTGGGGCATAAGTTATTGATTCTTTCCCACATCCTTCTAGGAGATTTGAGGAATCTGATCGCATTTTCCAGTGGTAAATAGTGTGTGCTCAGCACTTTGCATGTACTATCCCTTACTTCATCTTTCTAATAGCTGTGTATGTATGCATAAGGAGACAGAGACTGCAAATGCTGTTACTTTCCAAGTTGGTCCTCCTCATGGAACATGACTATGAGTGAAATTCATTTATACACACACTCCACCATATTAACTTGAGGAGGATGAGTTTGCAGGAAGTAGAAATTAATGGGATGATGGGACAGCCAGTGTCATTACTATTCTAAATGACAACTGAGGCATTTGGGGAAAGAAAATGATAGAAGATAGAATATATAACTTCTAGATTTGGTTTTGACACAAGCTTGATTTTGTATTTGGGGCCAATAATAATATTTACAAGCTTTGTTTTCCTCATTCCAGCTACCCAGTCTGCTCCTACATCCTCCTAACTCAAGGCACATGTCCCTTGTATACTTTCATCCTGAAAACTAGAAGATACATGATAATGGTTTGAATATAAAATAAACGTTTCTCTTACTCATTTGGTGCCGCCTTGTTAGAATCTATGATTGAAAACAGTAAATGTCATCCCATCGTTTTCAGTGATATGTCCTTAGTGGCTAGCCTGATCGCTGATATTTACTAAGTACTTGGTAAATATTAGTCAAGTGAATGAACAAGAAAGCACACACAGACAAAGCAAAACAGACCACAGTCTTCCTCGATTGTGGTCTTTTTCTCCACTCATTGTGTTTTTGAATCAGTAGTCCCCTCCCACATATACACACAGTTGAGATGGAGCCTGGCCCTCCCATCTATTAGGTGCTCATATATAAAAACTGTCAAAATTCATGAAAGCCCAGACACATTTATTTCTTTACCCTCATCATGAATTTGTTCATGTGGGAGGTGGTTTGGATGAGAGTGTGTTTTTTCAGAGGCGTATTTACAGACACTCTCAGAAGATTGTAACAAAGTTTAAGGCAGAAGAGAGTAGGGAAAAGAAAAAGGCCTTTGAACTAAATAGTTCCTCACATTCCCAGAGTTTTAAAAATACCCCAGATTTCTTGAGTAACTGAAATAATGGAATATTTTAGCTAAAAAAAAGAAAAATCCAACTCAACCTGTTTTTATTAAACTGGTCTTCACCTTCGTTACTGAGTGACTCTTGTCTGTCTACACCAGCAAAGTTTGTGTCTTGTACCGTTAACCCAGAGGCTGCTTACACCAGCAGAGTGTGTGTCTTGTACCGTTAACCCAGAGGCTGCTTACACCAGCAGAGTGTGTGTCTTGTACCGTTAACCCAGAGGCTGCTTACACCAGCAGAGTGTGTGTCTTGTACCGTTAACCCAGAGGCTGCTCATGTTGCTTTCTTCTCTAGTCCGTGAACTTCTGGTACGTGCTGGTGATGAGTGATGAACACACCGAGAGGCGATACCTGCTCTTTTGCCTTCTGAGCTGGGGGCTGCCATCTTTCGTGGTGATTCTCCTCATAGTTATCCTGAGAGGAATCTATCATCAGAACATGCCACAGATCTATGGACTCATTCATGGTGACTTGTGAGTACATCCAGGCAACACGCTGCTGCTGTCTTAGGTTTTTTTTTTAACTTTCACTGGTAGCTTTACTGGTAGATGGTGGACATGGCCTGAAAGAGGGTTATGAGTGCGGGCATTTTGGGAGATCTTTGCTTTCCTGGTGCACTTTCTGAAGCTGTCCTTTATAAACTCATTGCCTCTAGAGTAGCAAAGTTTTCTCTGGTGAGAGGTATTAAGTAGCCGGCAGTAGATTATATTTTAGCCTAACAGTTTATCCAAATTAGACAAATAGTAATATGTGACAAATCAAATCACTGTGAAAATTTTGATAGTGAATCAATGGAAAATTCTGGCATAAAGCTCACATGGAAAGGATAAAGCCCATTTAGTTTCTTCTCAGATGGAGTTTTCCATTTTCCTTTGAAGTAGACAGTGTTTATCAGTACCATCTTGGTTTCTCCATCTACCAGACCCTTCAGGTAACAGGTTTGACATTTCAACTGCACAGAACACAACACATTTTTAGATTTTACAATAAAAATATTTGCAATTGTAATTTCTTGAATCAAGTATCTACCAGACTCAACATTAAACTATGCAAAGGTCTTACTCTTTGAGCTAAAAAAAAAATCTTCTCTTGGTTTACTTAAAACAACAATATATCTGGTATGAATTCACAGAAGGTTTACAAACAGCAAAGTAAACTGTAGAAGTACTGCATTTAAAGTATATATTTTTTATCATATTTGGAAACATTTTCTCTTCTTTTTATATTGTTTTTCAAAGTTTTTCAGTGGTCTGATGTTCATTGTTGAATGGACAAATTTTAAAGTAATGATGGTGAAGTTCAAGGATGGTTTATACAGACCCATAAAAGTTTTCTATGTGGGAAGAAAAGAACAAAAGTCCTGAATTCTGCCTCTGGTTTGAGTCTTAATCTAGGAATTAATCTTTTTTTCTAGCTTCTTCAGTACATTCAGGGAAGTCTGCTGCCTCTGTCTGTGGAATAATTTTACTTACAGAGTTGTCTGTATTTATTTAAAACAAGCAAAAACCAATCAGTATATAAGCATATATTGAATAAGGGATGGTGTGATGCATTATAGATTCCAACAAAAGCAGGGAGACATGGACAGATTAAGAGGTGAGATGGCTGGGGAGGGTGCAGGTCCAGGGGACAGCTGTACCTTCGTGGGTAGTGCCCAGCCCTACCCTCCAGCCCCAACTCCATCGGCCCTTCACGTTAAAGACCCTGAACAAGAACAAAAGTATAGCTTGGGGAATAGAGGAGAATAGCAGTTACGTCATTGGGGAAAATGGTTACATCACTGTCCTGATCTGTTGTCTTCACATGGAACATCTTCAACAGGACGGGAGAGGCTGACAGAGCAGAAGAGGCAGCAGGCCAGCCTTACAAGGCCCCTTGCAATGCTGACTCCACTCTTGGGAACTGGGGGGAGGTTTTTGAAATTGACCTCCCTGCTGGTGTTGTAACCAGCCCTTCTAGTTACCAGCTTCACGCACTTCCTTGAATCTAGCAGACTTCTCTCCAAACAGCCTGTTCGCACTTTCCAATACTAGTCTCCCGAGCACGTGTCGGTTGTAGGCTGAGAGTATAGACGGGTGGGTGGATGGACTTTGTCTCTTGTTTGTGCTCTAACAGAAAGAAGAGGTTCTCACTTTAGAACACAGCTCTACTATCCAAGGAATCCTGAAGCAATAACACTTTCTCAACACAATATAGTGTTGCACTCATTCATGGTTTTCTAGTTTAGAGTTGTTAAGAAGAACAAAGAAAAATTCTGCTGTTGAATGTTTACAAGGGCATTAGAGAGTAGTGGGGACCATCACCCCATAGATGCCTAAATACCAAAGACATTATCAGAACAAGGAGAGGATTTATAAAGCACATGGCAACAAGGTGATGTCTTTCCTAGACATTCTTGTTAACATTCTTTAATCTTAAAATCAAATACTTTTACAGAGAGAGAGAGAGACAGACAGAGAGACAGAGAGACAGAGAGACAGAGAGAGAGACAGAGACATCCACACAGAGAAACACACACACACACACACACACACACACACACACACACACACACACACACACACATGCATGACTTGTTTCTGAACCTGATATATTACTTACTGCTTTGAAGACTACTCAGCCCCTTTTATTGACAAAACCACAAAACAAACCCTTTGTGATTATAAAGCTTAACTAGCTCCCTTACTCTAATGAAAATGAGAGAAAAAGTAAAATTCTAAAAGAAATAGCCTACTTGCAAGCTTATGAGAATGATATTACTCATTTATCATATAAGTTTCTGTGAAAATACCAGTTACTTTGTGGATATGGAAGTGTTTGAAAGATGAAACACAATATATGCAGAAGTCATTGCAAGGTCATTGTTGCTTCTGAACAGTTAAATAATTAATGAGTACTTGTCATTGATTTACAAAATTCGTTCGACACATGCACAGCCATGACACAAATGTGATGGCATACTTAGCCAAAGGCTAGCCATGTGACACATGTTCAAACACACAGGCACACACTGGCATGCTATTTGTATTTATAGTCATATGTGTCTTCTTATTGAGTCAAGAAGAACCTCTCATACTGATTACTTTATGGTATTGTGTTTTGTTTATGTAAATTCTAGAAGATGGCAATCAGTGTCACTTCAAAATAAGAATGCACATATTTTACTGTTAAATTTTGAATGGCTAGTAAATTTTTTAAGTTTCTGCATCATTCTTTGTTGAACACAAATGAATCATGAGTCAAGAGCTGGCAGCTGGTGGCCTGTGGCTGGTAGCTGGTGGCAGCTCCTTTCTTTTGTGAACTCTGGCAGGACAGGGCTTGTTTAGGGGAAGTTTTAATAAGTAATGACATATCTTCTCAGCCTTGATGAGTGGGAGCCCACGAGAAGCTCTTTTGCTGCTTCTAAAAGGATTGTCCCAGAAGTAAGAGCTACACAAGAATGCCCACATGAACTTACTCTCAAAAAGCTTTCCTCCTCAAAAAATGTCTGTCAGCAGCTAACTTGTAGTAAGTGAAAAGTACACTAACTTCTAGCTGGCTTTGATACTACAGAATTAGTAGACCCACAGTGGCTAACCTTAATATTGTAATTCCTTTTCTCCCTAATTCACATACTACTTTCCTCTTTGTTACCCGAGGAACTCAAAATTCAGAGAATTCTGTTTTCCCATAGAACTCCAGTCCTTATGTAAGGGTAGAAATTAGTTCTTATTAGTATGAAAGCATTGGAAACCTGCATCATCATATCAAACATGCCCTCTTGAGGTCTCTACGTAGAAACTGTGGTGCGTGACATGCTTAGCAGTTACCCACTGAATGGTGGTGGCTTGGCAATTATACATGTCTTTCTTGCTTGCGAGATCTTTTCCCCCCGCTTTTTTTTTAATTAAGAAATTTTCTATTCACTTTACATACCAACCACAGATGCCTTCTTCCCTCTTCCCAGCCTTCCCCCCCAACCCAGCCCCCATCCCCACATTTTCCAAATCAAGTTCTCCCATGGGGAGTCAGCAGAGCCTGGTACACTCAACTGAGGCAGGTCCAAGCTCCTCCCCCTGCACCAAGGCTGTGCAAGGTGTCACACCCTAGGCACTGGGTTCCAAAAGGCCCACCCATGCACCAGGGACAGATCCCAATCCCCCTTCCTGGGGGCTCCCCAAACATTTGGAGCTAAACAACTGTCTCCCGTATCCAGAGGGCCTAGTCTAGTCCTATGGGGGCTCCATAGCTATCAATCCACAGTTCATGGGTTTCCACCAGTGTGGCTGGTCATCCCTGCATGTGTTCCCAGCATGATCTTGATGTCTCCTGCCCACAGAATCCCTTCGAGATCTTTGTAATTAAATCTTTAATGCTTTAGTATGTGAAAACTGCTGATTTTCTAATATTTTGTAGAACTGAAGGTCATGTTGATTTTGTAAAATGGGAGGTTTGATGTCGTCTTCCTTAGGATGTTGGAAAACAGTGCATGTGGAACTATCCACACCTAAGATTTTCTTAGCATGAAGGCTTTTAATTAAAGTTGCATTTAAAAAAAACTCACTATTCATAGTTTCTCTTTCTAGTTTTTTTTAGAATTTTGTAAATTGTCATATCTCTGTGAATTTTCCATCTAATTTAGCTAATGTTTATAAGCTCCCAGAAATCTATCCTTTCCATTTTTGATATTGATAGGTAATGTATGTATTTGTGTAGTAATGTACTGGTTAGTAACACACATTGATTAAGGATAGCCCAAACCAATTTTTTTACTAAATAATTTAGAAGTGAAATTTTAATGAAGGATGATATGGTGAATAACTGAAAATATCAGTATTCTCTGACTAGGTTTGTTTGCATATCTTCAGAATCATTCTTAACTACTATTGTGATTATTTTTATCTTCTGTGATAACCCCCTGTGGTTGGCTTTCTTTCTTTTTTTTTTTTTTTTAGCCTAAAGCTAATGCCTCTATATCATACTTTCAGGTATCTGATAAGTGTATTTTTCAGAGAGATGCAAAGCTATCCATTATCTAGAATTTTAAAAAAATGAACCCTTAGACACAAACAGAAAAACAAACAAAAAGAAACATAAATCAAGTCTATGCGGAGATTTTTTTTTCCACTCAGAGCAACCAGAATGGCCATCATTAAGAAAGCAATCAGAACAAATGTTGCTGAGACTATGAGAGAAAAGGAACACTTTTGCATTGTCACTGGAAATATGAATTAGTTCAGTAACAATGAAAGTTAGTTTGGAGGTTTCTCAAAACTTAAGGGTAGAATTACCGTGCTATCTGGTTAGCACACTCCTGTGAATCTTCCAGAAGGAGTTGATGTCAGACGAGGGAGCGGCAACGGCATGCCTGTATTATTACTGCCCTGTTCGCAGCAGACAAATCATAGGAGCAAGCCAAGTGCCTCTCAGCAGGTGAACAGATGAAGCACATGTGCTATCTAGGCAGAATGGAACGTTAGCCATCTCTAAAGAA